TATATATATACATATATATAATTGTGAGTCCAAGTCAAAATTCCGGAAAATTTCTTAAGTTAAAAAAAAAAACTTTAAATTGAAAAATTAGATAAAAATTTAAACAAGGTTTTTTTCCCTTTTTCTCAATATTTTTTACTTTACTGAAAATATATTTAAAATTTTACACATACCTATACCATTTACACATACCTATGATGAGCTGGAGAATGAAATAAAATTTACAAATATGTCTTTCTTTCTTGAGTTTATGATTATAATAACTATTTTCTGATAAAATATTAATATTAATCAAGAATATAAGCTAATGAAGTATCTGGCTCTCCCTTACAAACAAATAAAATAAACTGTGTTTTTAGTTCCACCTTTGAAAATTTGATTTCCGGAAACTTCTGTGATCAATGATTTTTTGAAACGTCTGGACCTTCAATTTCCGGATCACTGTTAGCGAAAAATCCTGATTTTTTCCGGAGCACAATCTGCCCTGAATAAATAAATACAAAAAGAAAAAGAAAAACAATTTATTTTGCAATCTTGTTACGAAAATATTTTAAATCATTCTTGAAAAATTTCCCGTTCATGTAAGAAGTTCATTTGAATTCGCTAGTCGTTTTATAGATTATGTTTTATGGTTTTTCTTTATATTTTATTTTTACGTGATATTTTTACTTAGTGTTTTCTATTTTATTTGTTGTAATTTTTTTAGTGCTCCTCACACTATTGTATTAATATATTTTGCTTTGGCTATATTGATACAATATTAGAAAGCACTCCTTTTTGCGGATATAATCCTGTGAACTGATGAAAAGATTATATCTTTTAATTATCAGATTTTTATTAATTTTTTTTCCAGATTCTTTTTTATTTTTATTATTTTTTCCCCTTTTTTCATTGTTCTGTAATTTTTTCCATGTTTCCTCTACATTTCATATATATACAGTACCCTTCCAAATTATTAGGGACACTTAAAATTTCTAAAAAATTGTCATTTTTTAAAGTGTCATAATTTTTTCAAAAATGAATCAATTTTCATAAAAATTTCTGGATATCACGTTCAGGTCTTCTACTTTCGCCTAAAAGTTACTAATTTAATTTATCTCAATTTTTTGCAAAAGTTTACACTTTTGAAAAAAGCAATTTTTTTTTTTAAAAAAATTTCAAGTCTGGCAAGTTGCTACTTAGTAACAAAATTTTTTGCATAAAAACTATTACTTAAACATTAAAGTACAAGTCATTAACTTTTAAACACGCTAACGTAAATGACTTTACGATTTTGTTTGACCGAGATATGAGATTTTGAAATTTTTTTGCCATTTATAGTGAAAAGCGAGTTGTGGCAGTATTTTTGGTAAAAGAAACCTGGAATAGCCCAGATATTATTGCAAAAGCAAGAGCTTGTATTAAAAGTATGCCTCGAAGAATAAACGCAGTTATACAAGCAAAAGGACATGTTACAAAATATTAAGATTTTTTTATTATATTTGTTTTTGTAAAAATGTTTTTGAATTTTATAATAAAGTTAAATTTCTTCAGTCGTTTTTTAAAATTTTATTGCAAATTTACAAATAATGTTCTTGTTTGTAATAATGTTTTAAATAAAAAAAACTTAATTAATGCGAATAAGAAAGTTGCAAAAAAATACTAAATAATTTTCGAATTCACATTAATTTCGTTTTCACTATAAATGACAAAATTTTTTCAAAATCTCATATCTCAGTAACAAAAAATCGTAAAGTCATTTACTTTAGCGCGTTTTAAAGTTAATGACTTGTACTTTAAAGTGCAAATAATAATTTTTATGCAAAAAAATTTGTTGCAACGTAGCAACTTGTCAGACTTGACATTTATTTTTTAAAAAAATTTGCTTTGTTCAAAAGTGCAAATTTTTGCAAAAAATTGAGATAAATTAAATTGATAATTTGTAGGTGAAAGTAGAAGACCTGAGCAGGATATCCTGAAATTTTTATGAAAATTGATTCATTTAAAAAAAAGTTATGATACTTTGAAAAAGGACAATTTTTTAGAAATTTTAAGTGTCCCTAATAATTTGGAAGGGTACTGTATATATATATATATATNAAGTTAATGACTTGTACTTCAATGTGCAAATAATAATTTTTATGCAAAAAAAATTTTTGCACAGTAGCAACTTGTCAGACTTGACATTTATTTTTTAAAAAAAATTGCTTTGTTCAAAAGTGCAAATTTTTGCAAAAAATTGAGATAAATTAAATTGATAATTTGTAGGTGTGAAAGTAGAAGACCTGAACATGATATCTTGAAATTTTTATGAAAATTGATTCATTTATAAAAAAGTTATGACACTTTGAAAAATGACAATTTTTTAGAAATTTTAAGTGTCCCTAATAATTTGGAAGGGTACTGTATATATAAAGATTACTTATAAGAGATTTTTTAAAAGATTTCCTAAACCACACATATGCTTTATCGCTCCCGGCAATTACTAATTTTACCAAAATTAAATATATTACTGGTGTAATAAACAGGCCATTGTATTGATAATTTAACTAATTGCTTAAAATATCTTCTGTTAATGATTCTTATAAATTTTATTCCTAATGTAAGTGTCAGTATGAAATTGTTTTCTCAAGTTGTGTCGGTTTCACTGAATAACTTCTTGTTTTTGCAGGGAGATACCTCTGGAGATTACAAGAGAATCTTGGTTGCTTTGGTGGGAAATTAAAAGTTGTCTCGAAAGGAACTTCTATGCTTTTAAACAAAAGATCACTGAGAATAAGCACAGCCTGAATCTTGTTCATTTTTATTGCTGAATAGATTTATTTATTGTTAAAAATAAGTATTATATATTTTACTTTTAAAAATTCATTTGTCATTATGCTATATGTAAAACTATGCCAGAAAGTGCTGTGCCATGAGCCTGCTGATTTTAATTAATCAGACTTAAATTATTTTTCTTGAACTTCTTAGTGTGCTAAATGTATACCAGTGATTTCTATATACTTTATATGAAACATATTTTATAATAAAGTTTTAACTATTTGTTCCAAATTTCTTGTGGTTATTTGCAATTTAACATTATGTGCCAGCAGTACCTAATAGAATTTACTTATTAAAAGAATTAATTATTTAGTGGTTTTCTAATATTTATAAATTACACTCTGTGAGTGATAGTCGAACTCGGAATTGCAAATAATTTCATAATATCAAAAATTCTAAACAAATGTTTTATAACAAGTCAATAATTGTACTGGCATTTTAACGCTCCAAGCGTTGAGTTGCTGAATATAATTAGGTAGAAATTCTCCTGCTACCCTTTTCTCTTTGATTGAATAACTTGGGAGAAACCAGTTTTTTAGTGCAAGAAAAGTTGTTGCTAAAAAAAGAGGAAAAAGCTGGGACTAAGACTCTGACAATTAAAATAGGTATAACATGTATTTACTTCAACAAAAAAAAAAACCATTCATTTGAAACAATTAATTTTATGTTTTGATAATGTCCTTTTTTTTCTTCTTCCCCCAAATGCCTTAGCCTCTAAATATTTCTGATTCTTTCCAACCACTACAATTTGAAAATTATTGTTCATAATAGCGACTTCCTTACATGACTTTTAGTTTGTGAAATTAGCAAGTTCTGTAATATTAAGCAGGTATTTTTACATATACACACATAGTTAATCAAGACAGAAAATTTATTTTCTTGGAACTATGTTAAAAATGTTTTGTTAAAAAAAACATTTCAAAGTTTGTAAAACTACGAACACTAACATTCGGACAAACAATTGAAAGAAAAAAAAAGTCTGAGATATGATGGTTTGATTGTGATGATGTGAACTTCAAGGCTAATAGAAAAATACTGCCAAGATCAGATGTAGATAGGTGTGTTAATCCACTTATGATGATGCAGTAGCAATATTTTTTATTAAACAACTCATTCTTGTCATTCTATAACTTCAATTATTTTCTTTCTGTCTTTCTTAAAGCTAAATTAAACGCAATTCATTTAGGAATTTTTCATAGCAGGAGATAACCTTAAAAATTCCGTCTGGAGTTCTCTTAATGCATAGTAGGAAGATGTGTAAATTTTACGCTATGGCTCGTTACTTAAAAAGAATTTTGCCTTTAACCATATATATCAAAATAAACTTCTCATATTTTAATATAATCTAGTTCGCACTCGGAATTAATTTTTCTTAATTTAACTTTGCGTATCCTGATGTCATTTTTATAGCTTAATTCCAGTCAGTTTAAAATCATGATTTGAAAACAGACTAGTTTTTAGTTTTACTGTGCGTCATAGCATAATCACTTATTTTAGGAAGGTAATCTGTATTGAAAGTTTTTCTTTTATTTATATGCTTCTTATATATACTATTTCAATGTTTAATTAAAGGTCGTGGGTTCAATCCTCGCCGGCCGAAGACTCCCCGTGTAGTAAATGGTGACTGATGCACGTTAAATCTGTCGAGTCTCAAAGTCCTCCATGTTCCCACAACAAATCAATACCTCTGGGGGTACTGATCCAGGAGTTTCTTTGTCTTCTGGATTGGTTCAAAATTACAAGGCTACGGAGTTGAACGTAAGTAGTCGTAAACCCATGAAATTGGGTCGGCTGTTCAACGACGGTTATAAAATAAAATGTTTAATTAAAGAAACCACCTTTAAGTAGCTCATAATAAGTCTCTCACCTATAAGTAGCTCATATTTTGCTTGAAAAGCATATTTTAAATTATTTAGGATTGAAATATGTTTTAAAGAAAATCTCTTGGAAACTTTCTACAATTCTATGCAATTGAAAGCATTGTTATCAAAAAGAGTGTTTTTTTTTAAGAAATTTCACTTTTCTATTAATTTTTGGAGAGACACTTCAAATTAGAGATTGTGTTTGTAAATTACTGCCATTTTATGATACAAATATTGTTAATACTAACATATTATGTTCTCTAGAAAATTAATTGAATGTTAAACAAACAAAAAACAGTATTGCACTTTTTTTCTGTACACAATTTCCTGCTTAATTAAACTAGGGCTACTAAAAAATTTATTAATGAAATTTAATTTTTTATGCATTAATATTATAATTGCATTATCAATTTTCTTAAATCTTGTTCCAAATACAGGGTATCTACTACATTTTAGATTTTCAATTTCATGACTTAACAAAGTTACTATTTTCTCTGACAAAAAAACAAGAAATTTAAAAACGCATTATAATAACATTCATTGAAATGATAGGTATAACCAAAACTGTTATACCTTGCATCTTCATATTTATAGATTTTAAATTTAAAATACAGAGTGAAGAAAGAGTTGAAGAAATAAAATAGCTGAAAAAAATACAAAAGCAACTAATTTTTTTTCTGCAGAATTACATTCTAAAGATACTTTTCTTTTTCATCGGAAAGGAAATAAATACTCCTAATTTTTCTGTTCTCATTTCGGAATAAAAAAATTTGCCAATGATTGGCTTGCTTCAGCTAAAATTTTAAATTGGTAAAATAAATAATAACAAAAATTCTAAAATCACAGAAGTTTAAAAGATAATTCGCTCTAGAAATGATGTTTTTTCTTTACTTTTTTGAAAGAACATGATAGACATTTTCAGGGTGCATAGCCTAATTACCAACAAAAAATAAGCACCTTTTAAGCACTCAAAATTTTTTTTTAAGCACTTTAAAAAATTATCACAATTAAGCAGGGTTGGAAAGTTTTTGACAATCGAAGGTTTTATCTTGTTTTAACCGTTATGTCAAAAAAAAAACTTATGGCATTGTTTTTGACAATTGTCAAAAATCCTGAAATTTTGAATCATGTAAAACGAATGGCGTTTTCATAAGCTACAGACTGACTATACGCCAAAATAGAATGGTGTTGAATTAATTATGAAAACGTGGCACCCGCTCCGATATCACCGGAACAATGTGAACTGTGTCTTTTTGCATAATTCGAAGCGAAAATCAACATAAAGAAAAAATCTTATTTTGGAAAGGTAAAATTAAGCACATTTTAAAAACACTCAATGAAAAAAGCACTTTTTAAAAATGCACCCTGATTTTATATTTTAATCAAATATGACTGTAAGTGGGGATTTTATTACACATTCAGATATTCGGAACACTATGAAAATGGGGGGAGGGGGTAAATTCTTATTTTAAAAATTAGATTTTTCGGCGACCTAAATCTATGATTTTTTTTAAAAAATAGTTAAAATGACATTTCATGACAAATTTTGTTTAATACCGAAATTTACGACTTTCCAGGTGAGCGGATACCTTACAAATATACGACTTTAGTTCCAAATGTTCTAATTTTTCTATATTGTAATGCCTTTTCCATCTTTATATTTATTTTTTTCAACCCAGGGCAGGTCTAATAACTACAAGCAAGGTATGAGATTTTTTGGTGAATATCGCAGAATTCCGAGTACCTCAACATTATTGGTTCACAAATCAAAAACTCCTAATTTGACAAAATTAAAATAACCCGTTAACAAGACGTTTACATACCTATTCTCCCCCAATTTGATTCTTTTGGTTTGGCAGATTTTCGCCGTTTTGAATACATTTGGAATTTACTAATATCGAGATTCTCATCGACTAAATTGTAATATTAACCATCAACTTCTGTATTTACCTGATTGAATCGTTACACAATGCGATTCAAAAATCGTACATCACGATTTCCATTCACATATTGCGATACGAATTCCCTCAGTTGTAAAATCAAACATCGATTTTCGCATTTTTATGTGATTAATGTTATTCATATTCACACAATCTAGAGATTATGCATTGTGATTCATATTTACGCGATTTAAAAATTCAATATTGTAGGGGTGCACAACCTTTTTCAGTGAAGGGCCACATGCACAGCAGATTGACCAATGAAGGGCCGCATGCCAAAGTGTTTAGACCGACATATTGAAAGCAATTGTTGGTGGTGATTATTATATAAACATCATTGTTTATATAACACTAAATTCTTTTTGTCGGTTAACCTTGTAATCTCTTTGCAGAAAATACAATACTTTAAAACGTTTAAAATTAGAAAATGCAAAACTGATTACTTAAGAAGGAAAACAGAATTCGAAAATCAGAATCAATTTATCAGAAAAAATTTAGATAAATTGAAATAATTTAAAAACTATGGAAAAATTGAAATTTTTTTTATCACATTACAAAATACAAAAGTCCATTTAAACATAGATTTTAACGTTAAATTTTTTCTTCATAGAATTAAATTTCAAATAAATAAATATTCTAGTTATTAATATAAATTCAAGTTAAATACTTTGATTTAAAGAAAGTTTATAGGGTTAAAAATGATTAAAACAAAACCCCTTAAGTGGAAAATAAGATTTAGCATTTATTAGGGAATGTACTTTAACTTTCAGACATTTTTATTTTAAATTAATAATAAGAGGCTGAGAGAGGGAAGAAAAAGAAAGAAAGAAAACACATTAAATTTTAAGGAACTATATTCCTTAATAATAAAAAACTATTAAGATACTTGTTTACAACTTTTTATGACGAATATATTTTTAACATGACACTTACTATTTACAATTAATACACAATCAATTAACAATCAATAAAATTTACATTACTTTACGAAACTTATCTTGATTAAATTTTTTATACAGTTAAAATTTAATGATATACAAATCATTTCCCAGCATATAATCATAAATGATATAAAATGCTCCAAGAAGGTAGAAAATGGTTTAAAAAATTTCTTAATGGTTATACTGTAATTTGCAAAATTTTTGAATATTGTGATAATTTTATCTACTTGATCATGTGATATTTTTTGAGCCATTAAATGAAAATGTAATGATTGTATTTAAAGACTACTCTGTAATTTTGAACAGGCCAAATTCATTCTGGAAAACAGTCTTTCGACAAAAGCTGTTGTTGTGGGTAGTATTAAACTTAGAGCAAATAACATAATCAGTTTTGGAATTTGTCCTAGATGGTGTTCTTCCTTTCTGGGTTTTTAAATCGCGGAAATACAAATAGCGATGTGTTATTTTTTAATTGCTTGAATACGAATTGCTATGTGTTATTTTTTAATTGCTTGAATACGAATTGCCATGTGTGATTTTTAAATTGCGTAAATAATAAACTCGATGCTTGTTTTTCAAATCGCGTGAATACGAATCGTGTGGCTTTTAAATTGCGAAAGGACTACTCACAACACTTGATTTTTAAAATGCATGAATATGAATCGCGATATATGGTTTTTAAAACGCGTGCATATGAATTGCGAGAAAAGTAGCAACGGATGATATTTTAAACGCCAGAACACGAATCGCGATATGTGATTTTAAATCCCGTAAATACGAAACGCGATGGATTATTTTTAAATCTCGTTAATGTTAATACGAAATGCGATGCGCAATTTTCAGATAGCGTAAATACAAATTACGATGTATGACTTTTAAATTACATGTGACAACAAAAAGAATAGGTTCGATGTGTGTTGTTAAACTTGCACGTGTTTATGGGACTAACGAATTATGCCGTGTTTTGATTTTTTTTTTTTGCAAAACGGACCGCGTTTAATATAAACACATCTCGGTTTTTTTTCCTGGGAAGGTGTTGATTTGGCTAAGATACGTAATTACTTTTTAAGTTACGAAAAAAAATTAAAGCTGAATCGAATTTCACGAGTTGTAATATTGTGTGAAAATATCAGGTATATTCTAAATCACAAATAAAAATGCAGCAATAACGGGAAAGAAGAAAAAACACTTTCGAAAAACCTCTTAAAAAATTCGTGTTAAAATCGGTACAACGCAAATGATAAAATCGGCACAAACAGAGCACGTAAAAAATAATTATTTTAATGCGCAATTCAAAACTCGCTTGCTGTCAAAGTATTAAAAATATCATAATCTTTTTAAATCACGGGGAAAACGTAATAACTACTAAAACAATAACCAAAATACTTTAATATTTTAGATGAAATTGGAGTAAATAAAGTCCATCAAAATTTTATGTAATTTAAATGCGAGATTTGAAATTAAAATGTCGCAATAGCGTATAAAAAATATCGGTACTTTCAAAACCTTGTAGAAATGTGTAGCAATAATTTCTAAAATAACGATTGAAAAATAATTTGATTTGCGATAAAATCGTTACAAATAAGCCATGTCAAAAAATGGTTATCTAAATGAGCGATTCTTTACTCGCGATTCGTAATAATATCGTGCTAAAATATCGAAGTTTTAAAAACCGGGCGGAAATGTGCAGCAATAACTGTTGAAGAAAGGATCTAAAGTCATTTAGATTTTCCATGAAGTTTGCACAAATAAAGCGTTTCATAACTTTCAAAAATCGCTATTTCAGAAACTACTTGAAAATGGGTAGCAATAACTACCGAAAAGTCATTGGAATCGGCACATACGAAAAGCGTCAAAAGTGGTAATTAAAATTCGTAAATCGTAATAATGATGTATTAAAAATATTGGGATTTTTAAAACTATGCTGAAATCCGTAGCGTTAACCATCGAAAAACTACATTGATTGAGATTGGGTGCGTCAAAAACTTAAAAGTGTAAATTTAAATTACCAAATTTTTTTTATTATTTTTCAAAAACAAATATTTAATTTTTTTTTTCATTTTGTTCAGATTGCGGCCGCGGGCCGCACATCGAGGATTGGCGGGCCGCAGGTTGAGCACCCCTACAATATTGTGTTTCTTGTAAGAAGTAAGTTCTTTATGGAATTAGTAACTATAAAAGTGTGATATTCTTCATTATTAAATAATTTAATTAATAATGTTAGTTCAAAAAATTACGTTAAATATAAAATATGTATCATTTATAAATTGGTTTCGTGACATTTATTTTTTACGTATAAAATTTCCAGGGTTTTTCACGTTGTCTCACAATTTTTCCTGATTGGCTTATCATGCTTTGTGTTCCTATTTTTGTTTTTAACAAGTTTTTTTTAAACACCTTCATTTACTCTTACTAAAAAATGGAAAAATAAGTCAGTAGCCCTGTTTGACTGTAGCAAGGAATTGGTTCCAAACCTAATTAAGAAGAAAAAAATGGAAATGCAACATGAAGCAAATATGTAAATTGTGTTAAGAAAAGTGTCAGCTACTAATGGCTTAAAAAAAGAAATGTGCTTTTTGCTTATGGTTAGAGGAAATACATTATCCCACACACCAGTTTGCTAAATAGTTTAATTTAAAAAAACAAATTTGATGCATACATCATATCATGATTAGTATTATCTTATTAATATATATTTAATAGATAATATATATTTAATATTTTAAAAACTACAAAATACACTTATTAATAAAATTTTATAAATTTTCAAATTTGTTGCATGCATTATACAATAATTAGTAATATCACTTATTAATAGGTGAGAGGAAATATATATTTAAAAAATATTTTAAAAACTATAAACTACACTTATTAACAAAATTCTGTAAACTTTCATGCAGCAAAATATCTGTACCTGAACCCCTAGCTTTTACAAGCTCGATGTTTGTTTTGGTTAAACAAGGCACTAATTCAGCAAACAAATCTGGAATGTTAGAAATTACATCATTCAGAATACTAAATCCCCTAACAAACCATTGTTCTGTAAATTTTCAAATTTGTTGCATGCATCATATCATCAAAACAAATTTGTTGCATACATCATATAATAATTAGTAATATCACTTATTAATAGGTGAGAGGAAATACATATTTACAAAAATATTTTAAAAACTATAAACTATGTTTATTAACAAATTTCTGTAAACTTTCACGCAGCAAAATATTTGTATCTGAAGCCTTAGCTTTTTCAAGCTTGATGATAGTTTTAGTTAAACAAGGTACTAATTCTGCAAACAAATCTGGAATGTTAGAAATTACATCATTCAGAATACTAAATCCCCTAACAGACCATTGTCCTGTAAATTTTCAAATTTGTTGCATACATCATATAATAATTAGTAATATCACTTATTAACAGGTGAGAGGAAATGTATTTTTTAAAAAAATTTTTAAAAACTATAAACTACGTTTATTAACAAAATTCTGTAAACTTTCACGCAGCAAAATATCTGTACCTGAACCCCTAGCTTTTTCAAGCTCGATGATAGTTTTGGTTAAACAAGGCACTAATTCAGCAAACAAATCTGGAATGTTAGAAATTACATCATTCAGAATACTAAATCCCCTAACAACAGACCATTGAAGTTTTTCTTGAATGAACCATTCTAATACTGGCATCAAAAAAGTTCTAGTCTCACTATCAGTCAATTCATTTTTCACATAAACAAATACTTCTCGACTCAATTTGAACAAAAAATCCGAGAAAGGCCCTGTGTGATTCATATATATTTCAAAAGCACATTTTAATAGAACCTCAGTAATTCCTTTTTTCTGATTTAGAGGTGCAATTTTAATCATTTCAAAACAAATTAAAAATCCATTTTTTGTTCCAGGTTTATTTAAAACATTCATTTTCAAAACATCCAAAAGAAAAGGTAATGTCTCAGGTTTATCAATGCTATAATCTAGATAAAAGTTTGCAATCGGATTATTCGGAAGCACATATGACCCTACATACGTCACAATGAGATTTTTAATTTCTCTTTCAATACACTTGTCATCTGAATAGTTAAGTTTGAAAAGTCCCCTCAAAAAGTTGGGCAGGTAATCCTTAATAGAACAAGACATGATTGACTGTGCAGTCTTATCTTTTGGAAACACCAAGTGCGGGAAAACAGTTTGATCGAGAAGTTGAGGCAAAAAACTGGAAGAGTTAAATCTTAAATGTAACAATTGAGAACAGTGTTCGACTAGATGGGATATTATTTTATACAAATAGGTAAGTGTTGACATATCATGCTGTTTTTTAATTCTATTAACAACAGATGGGACAAACAATTTAAAATATTGTTGTATTTTCAGTTTCAGGGTATTTTTATCTTGCAGCGTTTTAAGATTATCAAAATGGTTTCCCATAACGTGAAAAAAGGCAATACATAAATAAACGTAATTGCCGTCTTCAAAATTTAAACATTCTGTATCAGGCAACAATTCTAATATTTCTCTTTGCAAAAGAACCTTTAGTGTTAGTAAATCCATTTGATTACATGGTGGTGTTACATATAAAACACATTTCAGCCAAGACTGGAAAGCAATTGTACTAAAATCATAATTCGATTTTAAAGCACTCACAAGTTCTTCGTCATCAAGTATAAAACATAAGAAACGACAAACCATCTCACCATTGACATTATCTCTCTCCAAAAAATTTACAATCATAGAACTATAATCATGTATCGATGAATCAAGAGAAGTAGAAAATTTATAACCCAAATGAGCAAGCAATGCTGATATTTCAGCTATTATCAGAGGAGGAGTATTACTTGTTAAAAGTTTTTCAATGCTGGGGTTAACATTAGCCAAAAAATATTTCAAGAAGTTAACATATTGTATTTTAATGCTATTATCTAAACCAATAGGCACAGAAGTCTGAACTTTTTTTAAGATGTTATAAAATGCGTTAAGGATATAGTTAAGCTCAGCTACCCCACAAGATAACAATAACGTTGAAAAATCTACACTTAGAAGTTCAGATTCATTCAAGCTTAAATTCTGACAATTTTCAAAAATATCAGACATGCTATCAATATAAACCATTAATAATTTCATTATTGAATTTTTCTTCATTGTGTCGTTATGAATGTTTTGATAACTTAAGCAGGCATCAATAAAAAATTTGGAAATTTTACTGATGATTAAGCTAAGAGAGTGCCTTTTATCCTGATAAACTTGCATCAACACAAAAACGGCCCGCCAAGAAATCATTTGTTTCTTATCATTACCAACTGTCTCTGTTATTGAAACTATTTCACATATTTTGCTTGTAACATCCTTCATAATGTCTTCTTTACCAACATTAACAATTGTTAAAAATAAAGTGCAACTATTTTGGAGAGCCACTTCAGTTAGTTCTTTAACCTTTTTGGACATAAATTTGCTATAAATTCTACCTTTGAGAGAGCGCCAAATATTGCCATCTGAGCTTTTACTCAACAAGATAAATAACATTTTCAAAAATAAATCATAGCTGCTTAACTCATTTGACGAAATATCTGGTGCAGCATACGTAAGTATTTTCTTATACCAATCCAAAGAACTACTATGCAAAAAGCTAAGATAATTCAAATCAGACTTAGGAAGAAAAGTTTCATTAATTTTCTTAATAAAATAATCAGTAAGAGGTAATATAACATCAGAACTTGGTTCCCAAATTGAAACCATTTGAATACTATAAAATAAAGCCTCTTTAAGAGTTTTTTCTTTTTCACTTGATGTTATAATTAAATTTATCAAATTTTTTACAACGACATATCCACTCTTGGGAACAACTGAATCTTCGTAATTCCCCCACTTATTATATTTATAAAGATTTGATACATGCAAAGTCAGCCACAGACATAAAATTATGACATCTTGGTGTTCTACTTCAATACCGAATAATGGAAATGAATAAATTGACTCTTGAACCACTTCTCGTTCACCAGAGCGTTTACAGAAATCTTGAATAATTCTGTTATAATTACTCCAAAATGAATCATTCGTGGAACTGGATTTTTCATCCAACATCATAATACACATAATCCAAAGTTCCTGAATGCACCTGCATTTAAATGGTGAGTAATCAGAAAAAGAATTGATATTCTCATGCTGTTTTAAAGCCAAACAAACTAAATCGGAAATAATCAATGAAATTACTTGTAAATATGGTTCCAGTTGAGCTAAGCTGCAGCAAAATATTTCCTTTTTATTTATCTCAAAAGGTAAAAGAGACACTAAATAAAGAATAGCACTTGAACTCCACCATACATCCAGGATCATATGAAAATAATGATACTGATAAAGAGCAATTTTATTCTTTTCGTGAAAGTCTTTCACTTGTATTATAAAAGGTACACCGGTAATTCGCCCAACAGATAATAGCAGAGATTTTACTTGCGAAATAAGTGTGGTCAGAGACTCTACTTTTTTGGCAAGTTCCTCAGAATGTTGAAGGATACTAGAATCAAATGATGTTGATTCATAATAAACTGTCTGTAGGGATTTAAATAAAAATGAAAATGCACCACAAATATCTTTTCTAAGATTTTGAATCAAAGACAAAGAATCTCCAGACTGCAGACAATCTACATTTTCTACAGTCAAAGCTCTAATGTAGAAACAATTTTTCACAATGTCATCAAACAACAAATGTGCGTTATGCCACAGAACTGAAGTAGAAGAATAACATTTTCCAAATAGAAGAATAACACGTTCCTCGTGCTCGTCTAAGCTTAAAGTTATAAACTGGCCAAACAATTTACTTTTTAAATAAGAGGATTCCTGACAAGAAAAATATGGCACATCTTTTAAAGATAATATTTCTTCCTCACAATCGGATTCATCTGATAAAGGAGGGCTGAGAGAAAGACTGTCCTCCATGCTGAAAAATTATAATAATAAATAAATAAATAGTAAGTTCACTACACTATCTACCAATAAGTATTTGGACACGAGTGATTGAAAGGAAAAACAAACTTTATTCATGATTACGCTGTAATTGCCTCCACGAGAGGCAATTACAGCGTAAACCCTCAGGGGCATACTTTCCACAAGTCCTTGTGTGACAGCTAGTGGTATTTTCTTCCACTCGGCTAGGAGAAGGCATGCAAGTTCCTTCACCGATTTTGGACAGGTAGTACACCCCTTAATTAGGCAATCCAACTCGTCCCAGAGGTTTTCGATACGGTTCAGGTCTGGGCAGGCCAGTCAATTTCGATTAACCCCATTGGCACCACACCAAGCCTTGGTGACCCTCGCAACATGACAGCTGGCATTGTCCTCCTGGAAGTTACAGGGGTCCACCCCGTAAAACTGCCACAACTTAGCACATTGTCATCCAAAATAGTGCAGTAGGCATCTAGCATGGGACTAATGCAGATGTTGTATCTTACACAATATATACCAGCAGAGGGTGTGACGTATCTCAGGACCGCAGATATAGTCATTTGCATAGGTGTCCAAATACTTATTGGTAGATAGTGTATAATAATATCTACATAAAAAAAAATTAAAATATCACATTTTTAATTCCTGAAAACAAAAACTGAAGATAAGAAATGTTTAATTTTTCAATGTTATAATAAAAAAATATGACTGTTAATAAACCTTTTTTCATTAAAAAATTATTACTTAATATGAAATGCATCAACAAAAAATAGCTAGAAAACAGATTATCTAAATATATTTATTGCACAAATTTTATATATCATTTATATCAGTATTAAATTATACAATAACCAGTTTTGTACTGGAAAATATTTCAGCGGGGAAATGCAATGTTTTTTTATTTATATTCAATATTTTATCTTGAATATAGAAGTGTTATAGATACATAAGATTCACTAAATTATAACCACTTTGAAGTAAGGTATTTCAATTTCAATGAAAATTATTAATAAAATTATTGCAATAATTCAAGTGAAATTATGATTAATTAAATGAAAATATTCAGTGAAATGAAAACTTAATTATTTAAATGGAAACAAAATAAATTTTAATGTAGATTCATAATAGGGGGCTTAAGTATATCATGGCAAATAAGTCAACAACAGGAAGAAATAATGCCAAACACAAAACAAACAAGAGACCAACTTAAAACTAACAAAAGATTTTCAAGTGTGTGAAAAAAATCTCAGAAATAAATTTAGCAATAAAAAAAAGTAACTTACAATGAGTTAAAACAGACAAAAAGTGAGACTTATTTGAAAAACTAGTTAGGCACACAATGTCTCCCTATACCTCCTCCAATTCTCCCAATATTGTAAAATGAAAACATCATTTTAATCTGATATTTTAGTAAATATTTCTACCAAATTTAGTTAATATTTTAGTAAATATAATTAAGTAAATATTTTTGCACAAACACATCTGGGGAGATTCTAAAATTTTGTAGATACATTCTTTAAATCAATTAGTTAAAAAAAAAACATACATTAATGCAAAAACAAAAATCACTTTGATACATATATTTTCAGAAGAGATAATTTCTAAGAGAAATATATATTTCCTACTTATTGTCATGGGAAAAAAAAGTTGTATGTCATTCTGACATTTAAAGCTGAATTTATCAAATCAAAAGCGAAACAAATTATCAAATACTAGAAAATTAAATTAAGTAGTTAATTTTAATATAAATTTTGGAATCCAAAAAGCAAGGTAGGAGCTGTTTACGATACATGCTCTTAAAATAAACAAAACATTAGTAGTTTATTTCCTGATTCATCTTAAACAAAAATGATAAGCCCACTTATATTTTTCATAAAATAAGTCATTTTTCTAATGGTATAATTTAAAGGGATATAATTCCATAGAAGAGCAGAAAATTTTTTAGTAGTGCTCATTCATGTGTAGGAGCCACATTACTTTTATAAGCACTTTCTAATGTCTGTTAAATAAAATTACAATATGTACAATAGATTTCAAACTAAAACATGAACACGCATTAATGTTTTGTTTCTAGCTTTAAGGTGATCACATCAGTATCTACTATTTAATTTTAATGATCGAAATCTAAAGATTTTCTTCAATAGAAATGAAAAAAGTATCAGAAAATTCATAACAGAGTAACAACTGAATGATAGCAATAAATTCGATGTTTACATTCCATACTTTAATTTTCTTCATAAGATAAAAAAATCATGTTCAAACAATTTCGCTAACTAAACGAAAATGATAGCAATAAATTCGATGCATACGTTCCATACTTTATTTTGTTTCATAACACAAAAAAAAATTGTTTTCAATACAGAAATTTCGCCAACTGTAAACAAAAATTTCGCGGTATTTTAATGAAACAATTACAATTAAAGTTAAAAAAGTTTTCATATTCCATGATAGAAAGTTAGGTTAAGCGTTAAAAAGGAATTTAATACAATGTGCCATAAGACAACACCCTTGTAGCGTTTTCAGATGATTTATCCTCCTGTGAACTGAAACTAATACATTCGATATTTTCAAAACTCTTTTGTAGTAAAAAAATTTAATCTATATCCTTCTGAAAGTTTATTGTTATTGTTTACAGAAATAAAATCTGTAAATAAACTAGGTATAAAAACCTCTGAAATGGAAAGTACAGAATCACCTACAGGTGTTGAGCAAAATTTAAATGAGTTAGCTGTTGATATGTTTCAAAAAAGTGCAGAATATATTGAAGCGGAATTAGCTGGTAAATCGTTTGAAAAATTGTATTAAAAGTGTGGATTTGTATAAATATGAAAATTTATTTTTCATTATAATTTTTTTTCGAAAGTTTACAATCAAGTTTTTAAATTGTTATTATGGTTAATTAAAGTGATATTTCTAAACTAATTGTATGCCTTCGACTCTTTTTAGTTGCCTTGATTTTTTTGAACTACTATCTTTCTCACTTTGTATTTATTTGCTCCTATCCCTGAGCTTGAATATTTAAGATATAATATCAATCAGATCCATATTAGTTTACATTTGTCTGATTTATATTCTAATAAGTTTAAAATATTTACCTCAAGTAAATAGTTATGTAGTGAGACTAAATATATGTTTAAATTTGAATGCACACAAAATTAAATATAGTGTAGATAAAGGTTTTCTTGGAATAATAAATATTTAGTCCTTTTTGTTGTATTTTGAAATCTATTACTATAATATATAATAACATTTATTTAAGCATAAGACTTGATTTGTTTTTATTGCTAAAAGTTTATTGTAACTTTTTCAGTTGCCCAAGATGACTATAAGCTTCTTACTGAATTGAATAAGGAATGTGACATGACTTATGCTGGTTTAAGAAAGATAGGTGGCAATTTAAATAAGCAACTGAAAGAAATGACTGAAAAACGTAAGCTTTGTTTTCGTTAACATTTTAATAATTTTATTTAATTGGGTAGTAATTAATTATGTTTATTATAATCTTTTTTTTAATTATTTATCTTTTATGTTAATAATATTCTATTTGAATAAACAACAGAATAAGTTAATATATTCTTGTATTGCCATCTGTATTGTATTTGTCTGTATCTATACATGTCCAAAAAGTATGAAAATGGTAAAAAAAAAATACATATTGTATCAAAAGTCTTTAAGAATTACACTTGTGCAGGGCCCGCACTAAGCATACGCCACCTAGCCAAATGCAATAAAATTGTAAATTTGGCAAATAAAATTCTGTTTTGGTGAAAGTATTGGCAAATGATTTTTTCCACTGGTAAGAAAAATATTTAACTCGGTCCTCAAAATGAATTTTTCTAAACAAATCCTTTACTTTTATTCACTCAGCTACTTTTTATTCGATTACAGTAATTTTTGGTAAATGCGCCTCATAACCAGTTATAATTGGGTGCAAAAAGTTTTAATTTGAAACAAACTACCCCAAAATAGTTCTCTATGGTAAAAAAAGAAAAATAAATAAATATTATTATAAAAAATTTTTAAGATTTACATTTAGTGAAGACTTTCGAAGATTGTCAAACGTTTTTGACATTTGGCTAATTTATTGGCTTATAATTTGTAATCTTTAGCTTGGAATTCATTGATAAAAAACTTAACTCATTAATATCTCTGTGATAACTTCAAGATCCTAACCCCAATTTTTTTATTACAGATTTGGATTTTCGAGAAAAAGGTATTTAAATTTGGATGACTAGTTTTTGAATATTTGATGACATAAAAATTCTGCATACAAATTGTCTAGCATTGATATATCTCATGAAATAAACATCAGATCCATAATAAAAGTAGGTGTATTTGATGTTTTCAAATCATTATCTAATAATCCGAAATTCAACTCACTTCTCCAAATTCAGCACCACCTCGAAAAAGTGGTCTTGGTTAGAGGGTTGCATTCCTATTTGATATCATTGAATGCATAATTTGAAAATACACCTACTTATATTTCTACATTTTAAACTGATATGCATTTTTTTTTTTAGTTAATTGACCATTTTCATACTTCTTGGACAGCCTGTATAGAACGATATCTCATTAATGCAGCTTTATTTATGATAGATATGTGGATAATGTGATCATATTTGGATTTTTTTTCAGTTCCTTATAAAGTAAAACAACTTATATGAACAATGCTTACAATACTTATCAGTAAGATTGTATTGTATCATTAAATATTTCTTCACTGCAAAGTTGAAATGGAAATATTTTATGTTCTTCTCTCCAAACTATTTTTCAATTAAAACTGTTACCTTTGTTCTCAACAAATATGATAAAATGCTTTATCAGCAATACAGTGTTTCATTCTGGCATGGGTGGCCTTTAACACTGTAAAGTTTTTTAAAAAAAATGCTCTTTATTAAAGAATTGTAAAAATTTAGTGATCAAGACTCATTCCAAACTTTTAGAGATTCCACATTTAAAACAGGGTGCGTAGCCTTTGCAAAAAGTACTTTAGGTGCTTTTTTGGGGATTTCGTTCTTAAAAGCTTTTAAAGGTGCATTTTTCAGCTGGCGTTTTTAAAAAGTGCTTTTTTCCCGAATAATTTTTTTCCCTTCAGTGATATCTGGCGGATCCCCTGCATTTCACAAAAAATGGGGTGTTTGCTACGTAATCATTCACACGGACTTCATGTCGTACCCACGTTATGACTTGCGCATGCACACACACTAGAAACCGAAACCCGAGTGCTCCAATTCGGATGGAGAACATCAGATACTTATGAAATATTTTTTCTTTTTTATTTTATTATTGTTTATTTTATTTTACTTCTAACACTTTTTTGACGTAGGGAGTACGGGTACTTTTGTTCTGAGTTCAGGGTCGAGTTGAATTCACTCGATGATGTGGGAAAGTACTGATTGTTTCGATTTACGTCTGTTTCTTTTTGGGTTTTTTTAACGCCAAAACTGTTTATAAAAAGTTTTTGTTTTTCAGTGATATCACTGATTGAATATGAATTATTTGAGTGCTTGAAAATTTTTGTAAAGTGCTTGAAAAGTTTTTAAAAAGTGCTTATTTTTGATTCAAAGATTTGGCTACGCACCCTGTAAAAGCATTGTGTTATTATTTTAACTCAAATTTAAGGTTAGAAAAGATTTGTCAGGGACACTAGGATAATAATCACATGTTTCAAAGCTATTTCTGCATGTGTAAAGAAAAAACCTTTTTTTTTATTCTAAAAGCTTTCTTCTATTAAACTTTACTATGCTGGTGAAATGAGGACTGGGTATATTTAATGCTGTGTATATTTAATGCTGTGTATAAATAAAGCAAAACAATGTGAATAAAACTCAAATAAAGTAACAGAGAATGATATCCTACTGCTAATTCCTGTTGCCCATTTCTATTTGTGATTTATTCACATTGTTTTGCTTTACACATTGATCGGTATGTCACGTTTCAAAAATATTTGTTTTTAAAAATAATTTCAATTACCAAGTAAAAAATCATATTTTTTTTTTTTTTTAAATGCATAATGAATTCAAATCTATATATGTCATGAACTAATTCCAAATTCTGGCTCTTTACAAACTTAGCAGTAACCTGCAAAACTCATTACAATAAGCCTAACAAATAGCACCTGCAGTTTGCAAGGAAATGAACTCTCCAATTTCCAAAGTACATATACATGCATAAAGTTTTCAAAAAAAGTTGAATTATTTTCGATTTAAGGAGTTATTTATCTAAAATTTTTGATTTTTTACTCAATTGAAATGAACATCACCTTTTACAAATTTTTTTGGTTTTTTAAACTCACTGCATACTATGCTATACATTCAAAAATCGAATGTGCCCATGCTGGATGAGAGTAACCAAGATAGGCTTACATTTTAATTTAAACTTTCTCTTTTAACTGTCAAATTGACATACAGTGCGCAAAAAAAAGGATCATCCAAAGTAACTTTGGATCTAAAAAATATACATTAAAATTATTCATTTAAATTAAATTACAAAATGAGACACAAAATAAATAATTTTCTGAATAAACATAGCTTTTTTACGATGGATTATTTTTGATTTAGCTGCTATCTGTGAAATATTATCTCTATAGTTTGATCAAAGAAGCGGTTCAAAGTTTAGACCCCTTAATATTAATTTTACTTTTTGCTTATTTCACAATTTCTGTAAAACTTTTACATTTTTTAAACAATTTATCTAACTTATATTTTTTGTAATAATTAGTTTATTCTCACAACTGTGTAGTGATACACAATCGGAAAAATAATTTGTGGTGTTTCTTTAAATTTAAATTATTTTTAATGTTGATACTCATTACAGTCTTTTTTCAAAATGGAAATACATTTTTTAGAAGAATTAATCAATTAACTATGTGTTTTAACTAGAATAATGAATCAAGGAAGTCATAATTGTGTATTTTATAATCAAGGAAGTCATAATCATGCGCTTTGCATTTTAATATTTTTTTTTATTCTTTGAAAAATCTTTTCTTTATAAACAGTTAGAGCGCTTGTTTTATGAAAAAATATTTTTTTTTCACTAATTGATGCAAATCAATAACAATTTATTATTTTTTAGAAACTTATTTTTGTACACTATTAAGGACTTTTAATATTAAAAATAATTTTGTATCATATGTAAACTTTGTTGTAGTGCTGTTTCCTCTTGACTACAATTGTTAGGAAATCTCAATTCATTTATTTCTTATATGCTTGCATGACATTTAGTTTTGTTGTTATTTTTGCACCAGAGCTAGACTAATGGACTATTGGAGACAGTCTGAGATTCATTTTAAGCGTTGATTTGAAGACAATACTGGTGCATGCACAGTGCACATGACATTAACACAGTTTAGACCAGAAAGCTGCATAGTATTTAAACAGCCTCTTAAAAATAGGCTTTGCACTAATACTCATCTAAATATGTATTTCTTATTTGAGAGTTGAGTTTCACTCCTCAAAATTACGTATACTGGAAGAAAAAATTCTTCCCATAAAATTTTTGTTTAAACCATTATTTTTTCAGCTGTCCTTTGAAATCAGTTAGGGAGTAAGTTGGCAATGGTATCCTTTATATGTGTTCTGAATTTAAGAAATTCATTGCTTTTACTGTAACAATGCCAATAACTTACAGCCACTTGAAAAATGGGCTTAGCAACTCAAAATTGAGTAATATCTAAAAATAAAAACTTTGTGAAGAGCATTTAGATGGCCATTCCAGATTGACTTTTTATTTTTTTCATGTCACTAACAAAGGTGTCAATTAAACTTTACTTTAAAAGGTAAAAATAAAGAAATATCCATAAAAAATTTTAATATATTTTATTAATATTTTTTTTTCTTCAAAACTCTTAGTCTAATTAACCTATAAATTGTGAATAATAATTGAAAATGATGATGTTTTCTTTTGTTAAATATTTAGCATTAATTTTGTATTTACTTTTCATAATTTATCAGTTAGTTGTAATATGATAATTTACAAATATTGCCTGTGTTTTGAAATTAAGCACTGAAAAGAAATTTTTTTGAGTAATGCTGCTTTGCTCTGTTTACCCTTATATATTTTAGTTAATTGTTTCGTTTTTTGAAATTTTAGATTGTCTATTTTTTCATTTTTTTCTTTGTAAAACTTTTTTTTAAAAAAAATATTCATTTTCATATAGATGCAGCATTGAAACCCTATCTTGAAATGATTGATTCCATTAATGAAAGTACTAGTAAGCTGGAAGCTGTAGCATACATGATGGATGCATATACAAAACGTCTAGGTAATTATTCATTATATTTATTAAAATATTATTATGTAATTGTTCACGATTCTAAATTATTCACATTGAATGTTGTTAGAAAATTGTTACAAAGAGTGATTTATCAATGACCGTACATAAATTAAAATTTACAGCATTTAAATATTCAAGTACTTAAATGATTTATTTACTTTGAACTTTGAATATATTAATATCTGTCAAAACTCCCTATTTCTAAATTAGACTCTTATTAAATGTTGTAGTTATAACATTGCTGATAGATTTTATTCCTTTTATAATGTTTTTACATATTAAACAGATTTTACTAACTTTCCAAATTGTATTTGAATTCCGAAAATTTATTTTTTAGTTGTGTCACTTATATTTAGTTAAAATATTGCTTAATTTGTTTACTGCATTTAGTGCACTTCATACAATATTTGCTATATGGTTGAAATGATACTACCAGAATGCTTAATGATCAATGCTATTTATTATGAGTGTCGCATTACCACTTGATTTCTTTATTTAGTTATATATGCTTAGTAAGTGAAATTCAAACGTTTTTAATGCAGTTTAAAAATGTGAAGTCAATAGTTTGCTACAGTTATTTTTTTATATTTTTACTCTTTTACTTTTTTATATTTCTACTCTTAAGTTTTTCAGACACCTCTATTTGTGTAAATAAATGAACATATTCCTTTTTCTTTGAAGCAAAAGAAGAATTTTGATTTTTAATGTGGAAGAAACCAAAAATAATTAATTGATGAACACAGAATATCATCAGTAATTTTTTATTTCAAGGGTCTTAATATAGGTTTAGAATTTTTTTTTTTAAATTCGTAATTCAAATGGTATGGTTGCATTCCATGAATAACCTTTGAGCTGAAAAAACAGATATAGTTTTAATAAGGAAATTCCAGTTTTCATAAATTCAATTTTAGTCTTCCTTTTTCTTTTTGTCTATATCGTAAATATTGAAGGATTGATAAATATGGAAAATAAGCTCAACTAGATTAGTTATGAGAGTTTGTGATAATTTTTTTCCCTTTTGTATTCTTAGCCATACATTGATAGCTGATTGTAATAAGCCCAAAAACAAAAATTCAGTAAATTTATTTAAATTTTTTTCTTATGAATATTGAATGATTGTTTTTATATATTATTTAAGCTTTTGAGACTTAGTTTTTTCTTGTGTGATTTTTAAGCTGGTAATTTTCCTGTAACAATGCAAGACTTAAGCCTTCTCATACCTACTTTAGGCATTTTACTAGTACTGATATGTCTTTCTGTGAATGTACCTTAAGTGTCACAAATCAAGCTTTGAAATTATGAATTAAGATGTGACAAAAAAAATTTCTGTTTCTATTTGATTTTGAAAATAAAATTTTTTAAAAATATAAGTTTTAATGGAAAAAATTAAAAATATTCATAAAAGTTCCAAAAATTTATAAGGTAGAACTAATTTTTAAAATACACAATATCGAAGAAAAAAGATACTTTACTTACATTACTAAATTGCTTAATGCGTATTATTAATGGAACAATAGAAGTCCTTTGTTATCATTAAAAAAATGTTTTTCAAGTTAAAAATACTTTGAATAATCCATAACTTGCTCGCAACAAAGTTATTTCATAGTTTATTCAAATTCATAATTAGTTTTTTATTGCAAGTGTAAATTTAAAAATTGATTATGAATATGTTTCTGTTATTTTTAGCTGAAATAATGTTTTTTTTTCCCTTTAAAATGTTTTATTATTATTTTAAATAAGGTACAGCACATAAAAATAAATGTAATAAAACCTTTTTTAAACAAATAATTAGTAAGTTGTATTGAATTTTGAATCTTATTTCTTTTATTGGCACATGAAAGAAAACTATAATTAAACTTTATCAACCTTTTACTGACAATGCTGCTTTTTGATTGCAAACTTTAAATATTGTCATCATATTTGGAGTAATATTTGCTGTTTAAAATAATCCTATAACTTGGAGAAGGGGGCATATTTATATTTGCTTCATTATTTCAAAAATAGGAATAGGGTTTTGTACCGAGGGTACTTTTATATGCTGTAATTAATAAAGGCTTTACAACTTTTGATGTAAAATAAAAATTGTGAGTAATAAATTATACTGAATAAATAATTTCAAATTTAGTTTCAATTTTTCTATAATTGTAGTCTTGAATTTCAATTCACTTATTGTTTTCAATGGTTTTTTATTTTTAGTAATACATATTATGCTCATGCTATATTTTTAAATATTTTTTTAATAGAGAACCATTATGTTTATTTATGCCAAATTCTCATAATATAATCACTAAATTTTAGATTAAAATAATAATTCAAAAGTTAAAATGACTAAATAATACTCAAAAGATGTACTGCTTTTACCATTATTATTTTAAGAGAGAAAATTAATAATTCTTCCTAAAATGTTCCTCAGTTAATATTAATTTGACAAGACTTTAACAAATGCTAAATTCAGTGATATTATTTCTGCCCATTTATTCCAACTGTTTCAATCTACATAAGCTACTTCATTTTTCATTAACATGAGCATATTTACTTATTTAGGACCTGTTCCATTTTTATCTCCAATACATAATAAATGTTCTTTAAAACAAATATGTTTTACCTGATGTTTTGACTAGAACTTTTGTTCAATTAATAAAAAATAGTAATTATGTTAATTTTGTATCTTTAATTCTTTGTAGTTGTATAATCGCTCTCAGCAAAGAATTCTTAGTGAGTATTAACAAAATACGACTAGACTATTTAAGTTGCTTTATTAATATATTGAACTTTTAATTGAGTGAAATAATTTAATGCTACTAAATACTTTACTGCTATAAAAATTATTACTATCTAGAATAGAGACGCTCAACCATTTTTGGAGAGCAGGGCACAAAATCTTTAAAAACAAAAAAATTTTGCTGCAGGCTTATATGTAATCGTAAAATCACAGGGTGTAATTTCAAAGTTACATGAAAACTACATTATTTAGTTCTATTATTTAAAAGATACATAAAGGACTTACAATAGTCAAATATTTAATGTTTATAAATCTAAAAAATATACCTTTTTGAAGTAAATGATCAAAAACAATTTCTAGGTACAGGGAAAGAAAAACAGAAAGTTAAAAAATTTTAATTGCTATCATTTCTTTTAATTGCTATTTTATCGTAGCAGATTATTATAGTAGTGTTATGATTGGTGTTTTGAAATTAGAATTCTTTCATTTAACAATCTTTTTTGATATTTGAACTGTTTTTTCTTTCTTTATTTACATCATTTACGCTTCTATAAATACTGAACTCACTACTAAAGCACAATGATAACAATTCAATGCTCTGAACTAGATAGTTTACTGTTACAAATCACAGATAAATTTTCCAATTTTCTTAAGACTGTTTAACGGTAAAGTAAAAAGCTTTGTGGGCTGTTTTTACACCACTGGCCATAAATTATGCATCACAGTGGTTCAAACAGTTCCAATCATATCATTGTATATTTAAGCAGAATGTCATGAATGTTGTGTATTAATTGAAAGTTATTAATGTTAAGATTGTTATGTATTAATTTTAATTAATTTATTTTGTTTTTTATTTATTTATTTTTCTAATGAAAATAATGAAAGTCTTATGACTATTTTAAAATTTATAAATTTTTCTTTCCAGAGGCAAAGTTCAAAAGCTTGGAGAAACGTTAAAATTCTTTGATTGGTGCATATGGCGCAGCACAAAGACATTCCTTCGTTTTTCAATGTTATTTTAAAGGTTTATTTAAATTATTTTGTGTGTTGTTTCTTGAAAAATTAATTTATAATTTATGTTACTCCTGTATGTTCATTTGCTCATCTTGCTGTGAAACTAAAATAAAAATCCTACACTTTATCTTATCCTTGTTTTTTTTTAATCATCTTACTTATAACACTCATCTTTCAATCATTATGCAAAACAACTTTTAAAAAAAATAACAATATAAACTTCAACATATGTATTTAAGTTTAAAATGGTATTTCTTTTTTTTTTCTAATTTAGGAGAAATATAAATGTAAATTTTTACAAATTGTTCTTTTTTTTAAAAAAAATTTAGAGTTTTTATTTATTTATATATACCTATATATATATTATATTTATTTTGAAAAGGAGAACATTACAACAAAAAGTAACAAAACTCAAAAATTTGTTGTTTTAAACTTTTTGCAGTCTTTTAGTGAAATGAAACTTTTATTGGGTTAGGAACTAAATTCCCACAATGTTTAAAATTATTTGAAAGAGTATGTTTTGTTCAAACAAAATCTATGTTTTTTTTTTTCTTTAGCAATATAATTTCTGTTAATATTCAAATCAATCATTGAAAGACTATGTTAAGTTGAGATAGAAGAGCCTTTGGATACTTCTTTCTTTTTGCTTTTCATCAAGGTTTTAAACACGCAAAAGCTATTTGTGATATTTTAGCTCTTTACGGAGGCGGTGCTATAGCTGTTAAAAATCACTCATCATTGGTATGTCAAGCTTAAAATTGAACAGTTTGATTAACTATTTAGTTGAGTTTGATGAAGAGCTATTAAATCGATTTTTGCTCGAAAATTTCACGTCAAATGACAAGGGATCTGAAGGAAAATATTGAATGCTTTTTCTTACTTCACACTTAATTTTTTTTTTAAGGAATTTAATTGCTAATCCAAAAAAAGTCAACTGTCTTATTTTCCATTGCATAAAATGTTCTAATTGTTAGTCAATTCGCTTTTTATTTAATCATATATCCAAATCAAACATATATATATATATTGTTCTAATCTAAGGTATAGTAAGGTTTAGATCTGCAACTTCAATTTTCTGCTATATCACTACCTCAGCGCTTATTGCATCACGTAAAATGTGTTTTGGCTTCTGTAGATTGAAATTTCACAAAGTAATTTTCCATGAAGGTGCCTTTTACTACAATCAAGGCCAGGATAGCCTGGTTGGTAGGGCACTGGGCCCATGTCCAAGAGGCTCTGGGTTCAATACCCACCGGCTGATGACTTTGAGTATTAAATGGTGACTGATGCATGTTAAATCTAACGAGACACAAAGTCCGCCATGTTCCCGTAACAAATTATACCTCTGGGGTTACTGAACCAGGAGTTTTTTTGTCTTCTGTATTTGATTCAAAATTACAAGGCTACGGAGTTGAACATTAGTTGTATGCCCAAAATTGGGTCAGCTGTTCAACGACAATTATAAAAAATAAAATGAAAATACCACAATCAAAGTAACTCTCTTTTTCTTACTCAATCGTTGAATTTCCCGTCTTGGATTTTTGAATTTGCTCCAAGATGTTCTGACCCTCCCCTTCGAAAACAAAAAAAGAAATCTTATTGGTTTTAATCTCAAGAGAAGAGTGGAGATATTCCTTCAATAATTTTTTGTTATAAACAAAATGTATTACGGATTTTGTGTTGGATTAACAAACAAACTTCTTTAATTTAGTAATATATTTTCCAACTCTAAACCAACTATATTCTTTGGTGTTTACTTTTTTATCGAAATACAAGAGCATATGAAATATACATTTACAAACTGAGAATTTGATTGGTGCATTTTATGCAGAACGATCACAACAGATCCATTAAGAATGTTCCCTAAGTTTCAAAAATCGGAAATTCTATTTTATTATTCTGTAAAATTTTGACGTTTTTATTCCTGTCGGTTTTTCTGAAGATCACTTTACTAGATAAATGTCACGTACAAAATATGAACTCGGTCGTCCGAAAAGTCGACCGCCATCCGATTATTTACTTTTTAAAAGTTGAAGGAATTTAGAGCCACGAACTCCAAAATCTCCGTGTCTCAGAACCTCATCCATTTTCTCACAAATGCGTAGATAGACCTAATTAATCATTATCAACAATTTAATTAATTTCGGGTACGAAATGTTTACAGTTATAAATTTTGTCATCTGTGTCCTTTTCAAGTACAATGAGTAAGAAAAAACGGAGCAACTAGTGAGCAACTTTTGATCTAGTGATCGGATCTTCTCATTCTACTGCCCGTACCAAATTTCCAGAGAGAATAAAATACTAGGAAAAATAAAACTGGATATTTGTAAAAAAGTTTTTACGAATCCTAAAAAGAAAAAAGTATAAAATGAAATTAATAAAACTTGAATAACTTTTGATCTAGTGATCGGATCTTCACATTCTATTGTCAGTACCAAAATTTCAAAAAAGAGAAAATACTGGGGGAAAATAAGGCTGAATTTTTTTTAAAAAGTATTTTTGAATCTTAAAATGAAAAAAGTATAAAATAAAATAATTAAAAAGAAAAAAAAACAGCTTTTCACTAAAAAATAAGAAATAAAATATTGGATATAACTTACAACTCCATATTTTATTTCTTACTTTTTCGTGTAGAACCATAGATGAGTTATTTTTATTTTTAAATTATTTCATTTTTGTTTTTTTTCGTCCTAGCAATCGTCGAGTATTTAAAAAAAGGCTCATTAATTTTTTATTTGCCTGCATTTATGCAAAATATTATCAATCAAAACCAATTTTGGTAGAGAATAGTATTTATTATTATAACTCATTAACTTTGCGCCTCAAAATGTAAACTTCCAAAATAACGAGGTATAGTTCACTAGAGGATGGAAGTCTTACAAAAAATGAAGATGAAGAAATAGGAATAAAAGTAAAGAAGATCATTAATTAATCCGAAAAGACTCAGTGTAATGTAAAGAAGCTGTTAATTATCAAATTTAATTGGTGAAGAGTGATAGTTAAAGCAATTAAATAACAACAAGGCATATATATATAGTATCCTTAAGCTTCAACAATCACAATTATATCAAACACGATGCGTTTACCATAAGCCAAGCAAGAATTTTAATTACTTTGGCCAAAATCAAGGTATTAAAAATTAATATTCAGAATTAAGAGATTCATTGTAAGCATGTTATACTCCTTATTAAGATCTAGTATTAAATGAGAAAGTTATAGTTAAGTGAATTTCGACAAAAGGAGGCACTGAGTAGTTGCCAAAAGAATTACAATTTTTTTCAAATATCAGGGGGCCAACTTATACACCTGTAAAAGTCGGACATTCGTTGATCATAATTTTTGATGCATTACAAACAATGAAATAGAAATGAATCATTCAAAATCAATTTACTACTTTCAAAAACTTTTTTTAAATGTGTTATATAAAATTAATTTTACATTTCCACCAACTATTTATTTATTTAAAATATTTTAAATTAGTTTGAAAAAACTTTAGAATGAGAAGAATTAGTTTATTCAAAAGTATTTCAAAAATCATGACGCAATGAAAACTTTTAAAGCATACCATAAAGTTGCAGATTTGAAAACGTTGTATCGGATTCAATAATGCTTGATTGATTTATTGAAATTACATACATTTGCTGACTTGTGTGCTCAATATAGGCTTATAAGTCATTGTCAAGTAGAAAATACAGATAGAACAATTCAGAGAAAGACATCACAAAGAATACATCCAGGGTTACGGCGGGATTCGAACCCGCTACCTCCACGCTTAACAGAGCGTTTGGACCGGCGATACCGCTCGGCCAGGGAGGCCCCTCAATAATGCCAACAGTGTTGTTATCAGTTGTGGCTGGTTAATATGAATTTAGCTCCCGGCTCGCATCGACCTCAATGCTAACGTAAAATTTTTTCAGGTAGTAAACAAATCATGGGTTAGAGTCCCCTTTCCGTCGAACTAAAGGAGGGAAGTTTTCGTGGTTTTCTTCTCTATGTTACGCAAATGCGAGTAAATTCTATCAAAAAGTCCTCCTTGAAGCCCAATGCCAGATCCAAAAGTTCCCTTGTCTTCTGGGTTAGGTTCAAAATTACATGGCTATGGAAATGAACATTGATAGAACATATCTCTTAATCAAAAATGGGTGTTCGACATATTCACCTGTATAATTCGATTCTTACTAAATTCGTTGACAATAACTTTTTCAGTTACAGAGCACCTTAGAAATTGGAAAACAACGCGAAGCATCAAATTTGTACTGATTTTAGCAAATATACTGCTTTTGCACTGTGTACTGATTTAGTAATTTACCCACACTACGTCACTTTCAGTTGTCCCATTACAAGTCCGGATTTTTCTTAATTATTCAGTAACGAATTAATAATTTGGAATAATTTTTGTTCCATATTATTCATTGAAATATATTCTATTGAACTTGATTAAATTTTAAGGTTGTTTTAAAAAGTTTTCGAAGTTAAAGTTTTAGAAAAATCAATTTTTTAAAAGTATCAATCTACGCCTTCAAACCAAATTCATTACATCTTCAAAATTTAAAATCGGTAACACGTGTAATAAAATACATTTCAATTAACTAAAAGAAACCATAATTTATTCAGACATATGTTAACATGGTAGTAGGTTAACATAAAAGAAATGAAATCTCTTTTCTTTCAGAAAAGAACCTTTAAATGTTGACTCTCTTATTTTTACAGTTAATATTTCACTTCAATGATAAAAATTATAATTTTTTCACACAATGAGAGTGCCAAAAATCTCAATATTCACATGTATATTTCCTTTTTTTTTTCGTAAAAAAATTTTTCAAAAAATTTTTCTTTAAAAAAATTAACACATACTATTTTATCTCGAAGTACTGAAAATGCCTCGTTAAGCTTCGTTTGAGAAATTTTCGCCTAACAAAAAGATGGCGCTTGTGTACTCATAAAAATGTTTTAGAAAGAACACTTTATCATTGACTAGACAGGTGCAATAATTTTTACGCCATCTGTCTATTAAATCTGATAAGCGCAGGTGTTTAGTCGATGATTTGTTTTAAAATGGAACAAAATAAATATCACGTGGTGTTGCAATTATGTGTTAAAGAAGATTAAATTTGAGTATTTAATTCACAGCG